TTCTACACTTTATAGCTGGCTGGCACTATAGCCTTTATCGATACCTGCTGCTTTAGTATCGTACATATTGCAGAATCAATGAATCACTGCAGAATGCACATTCTCCCCTCTTTCTTCCTCTTCCACTTTGGTACTTTGCTACGAGTTTTTTCTTGAATTTTAGTGTGTATCTTTCCTTCTTTATCACAGGGCTGGCACTAGAAACTTTCTTTGGGCCTATGGTGGCTTATTTAGTGGTTAGAAGCACTAAAAACACTGAAATACAAAATATATCGCAGGTACACTTGGAATCGACCGAAACGGCTTGTAAACACTGGCACACCAGCTGTACATGGAGTCTTGGAGTTGCTGGGCCCACTCAGGCTGCGCTCTGGCCCCATGGACAAGTTTGGGACGAACGTCGTTAGATGAGTTTTTCGCTGTTGGTAGAGCCATTTTTTTTATGCCGAAGAGCGCCATTAGACGAATTTGCCGTTACTTGATGCCACCATTAGTTGAGGGTCCACTGTATATACATGTGTATATATATATATATTTTTATTTAACTATTTTTTTATATATATTTATTTTACAAAGATGTAAAAATACAGCAGATTTTTCATAAAAACATTTTTACTAATACAGTGGACCCCCGCTTAACGATCACCTCCCAATGTGACCAATTATGTAAGTGTATTTATGTAAGTGCATTTGTACGTGTATGTTTGGGGGTCTGAAATGGACTAATCTACTTCACAATATTCCTTATGGGAAGAAATTCGGTCAGTACTGGCACCTGAACATACTTCTGGAATGAAAAAATATCGTTAACCGGGGGTCCACTGTAATACCTACTTTATAAAAGATGTTATTATTTAGTCTGTGTATGACTCCTAATAATTACTATTAATGGTATAAAGCTAGCTTGGTAGCAGTTTATGGGTAGTAGTTTATCATAATAGTAACTCACTGTCTTGCAGAGGGTTAGCGACAACTAAATTTGAACCAACTTATGCTCGTCGTGCCTTCCCATGCCTGGATGAACCTATCTTCAAGTCCACCTACAGTATCACAATTGTCCGTCCACAACATGGATACATTGCTCTCTCAAACATGCCAGTTATGGTAAGATGAAAATGACCATTATTTTAGTGTCACAAAATTTTTGTTTCATGGTGAAAGTAGGATATTAACCCTTCCACTGTTCAGACCCAGAAATTAATACTGCTTTCACTTTCCATATACCCCCCCCAACCCCCAAAAAATGAAATGGTAGAGAATCATTTTTGAAAGTAATGACACCAAAAGTATGAAATTTGAATGAAAACTTAGTGGTCTTGATGTAATTGATGCATCGTCATATTCGCTCATTTGAGTCCTATTTTAACCCTTTCAGGGTTGGGCCATACTAATACAGCTTGCACACCAGGGTTGGTGCTGTACTAGTACGCATAAATTCTAGCTCCTTCAAATCTAGTGAGAGAAAGCTGGTAGGCCTACATATGAAAGAATGGGTCTATGTGGTCAGTGTGCACAGTATAAAAAAAAATCCTGCAGCACACAGTGCATAATGAGGAAAAAAAAAGACTCCGGCCATGTTTTTGCTTTGAAACAGCAACTCTGCAGTGTATTTTCGTGTGCTATTTATGATTGTATTCTAGTTTTCCTGGTCTCATTTTATAGAATGGAAGGCATATTACAGAAATTGAGATGATTTTGATTGGTTTCACAATGAAAAGTACCTTGAAATTGAGCTCAAAGTAGTAGAAATGTTTGATTTTTGCCAAAGTTCAAAAGTAAACATATCATGCCACTTGTCCAATATACGTCAAATGGCAAGTCTAATACTCTTTCACACGTGCGCTGATATTATTTATACCATTTCTTCAATAATGCAGTAGTCTGCATAACAGTAAATCTATTTTTTGCGAGAATAAAAATTCAAAGTGGAATGCAAAAGAAATGTAAGAGAGGCCCGGGGATGTGACTAATGAACAGAAAAAAATTTATTTTAGTGCCAGGAATATCTGTGTTGTTTATTCTGGACCCTATTTGGAAATCGGCATCTCTTGAAATGTGTGAAATTGGCAAAACTGCCAATTTCTGACCACTTTATTGGATAGTTGAAATCGGTAAATGGGTGGTTTCTTGTACTCATTCGATAGAAAAAATGAAGTTCTAGCAAAATAGTCATGATTTTTGTCGAGTGGTACATTGGAATTGGCAGAAAATAGGGCTCAAAGTGGGCGACATCGCCGATGCGTAAACATTGTCGAGACCACTAACGTCGCGAGAGCATAATTCCGTAAGTTTTCCATCAAATTTCATAATTTTGGTGTCATTATGATTGGGAAAAGATTCTTTATCATTTCATAAGAAAATTATTTTTTTTTTTTTTTTTCGAAAAAATTTCTGACCCTGAGAACAAGTTTAGGAGAGGGCCTGCCGACCCTAAAAAGGTTAAGCCAGTTCCATTTCTCAGTTTTACCAAATTATTAGTTATTTTGCTAATATGCCTTCCATTTTATCAATTGAACACAGAAAACTGCTCATTCAACTATTTCAACTACCCAACAAAGTGTACAGAATTCGGTAATTTGGTCAATTTGGCACAAAATTAAAAAATTCCAATTTAAAAATAGTCCAAAATAAACATTGTAGACATTCTTGGTGCTAAACAGTTTCTGTCTTCATTAGTTACATCCTCAGGCCTCTCCTATATTACACTTGACTTCAATTTTGAATTCTTAATCATGTAAAAATAGGTTTACATACTTTATTTCTTAGATAATTAACCCTTTGACTGTTTCGGTCATACATATACGTCATACGAGCCACCGTGTTTGACGTATATACACTCAAAAATTCTAGCGACTTCAAATAAAGCAGGAGAGAGCTGGTAGGCCCACATGTGAGAAAATGGGTCTGTGTGCACCATATAAAAAGAATCCTGCAGCACACAGTGCATAACAAGAAAAAAAAAACTCCGACCATGCTTTTAGATTAAAACGCCAACTTTGAGGTGTATTTCCATATAGCTTTTATGGTTATATTCTCATTGATAGAATGGAAAACATATTATAGAAATTGAAGTGATTTTGATTGGTTTTACTATGAAAAGGACCTTGAAATGGAGCTCAAAGTAAACAAATGATATCATTGTCCAACAAATGTCCAACTAGCCATTCTAATTTGCAGTCATGAATGGATTGGTGTTATTTATACAATTATTACAATATTGCAGTAGTCTGCATAACAGTAAATCTATTTTTTGTTTGAATAAAAAATTCGAAATTGAAAGCAAGAGTAATATCAGAGGGGTCTGGAGACGTGACTGACGAACAAAGAAAATGTTATTTTAGAGCCAGGAATGTCTGCATTGTTCATTCTGGACCCTATTTTGAAATTGGCATTTTGTAATTTGCATGAAATTGGCCAAATTGCCAATTTCTGACCACTCTGTTGGGTAGTTGAAATTGGTAAATGGGCAGTTTCTTGTACTCAGTTGATAGAACAAATGGAGTTCTAAAGAAATAGCCATGAGTTTGGTCAACTGGAATAATAGATTTACTTTTATTCTACTTTTTTCTTTTAGTTTTATTTTATTTTTTCAAGTAACTTATGGCCTATGAGACCAATATAAGGCATAATGTATACATATCCACTTGTATATAACACAATAACTGCACAAACATTGTTATTATATTGTTTACAAAACTTGTGTACACAGCCAACAATAAAAAAAAAGTTGTTTATTACTATTGTTGTATAATATACATATATGCACATACAGAGTCACTGGACAAGTGCTGCAGCTTGTGGAACTCCTTGAAATATGGTGTCATGCACAGTGGTGTTTTACACTCCTCACACATAAAACAAGTATCTTTGCATTTTTGTGGGCATTTTGTTTTATGCTCATAGACAAAACACCTCTTCTGAGAATATTTCTTCTTGGTAGGAGGCACTTGTATTAGGTGGTGATCACGAGGTCTCAAATGAGAGGGTATTTGATGATAATTTCATTGGCGGTTTTCTATTGCAGGTATTGTTACTTGGTACTTGAATATTATTTGTCTGATGACAGACAGACAAAATTCACCATATGGTGGTTTGTCTCTGGTCCTTATCTTATACATATTATAAGCATTGAGCATGGAAATGTCCACAAGACGGAAAAGAGAGTTTTATGTAGCACTTATAACTCTTGTAAACACAGTCAACAAACCCAATTTGCTTGTCACATTTGTCCACTGAATGCATATTGTAGTCCATCACAGCTGCAGGTTTTAGAATGGGTTCATTGGTCTTTATATTCTGCCTGCCACTGTCTGTCATTTCGTTTCGGTGAATTGATGTCAACATTGTGACATCTTGTTTGTCATGCCACCAAAATGCCATGATGTCATTGGCAGCAAACGCCTGCACCACACCTCTGAGTGCATGCATTGAACCTGGGCATATGCTTATGATTTGCACGCACTGTGCCACACATGTCTGTCATGCTCACTTTCGAGAAATCACTAAGTACGGGGCTTCTGTACCAATTATCAGCATATAATATATGCTCCTTACTAAGATATGGTTCCATCATTGTTCTAACCACATCACCAGAGATACCCAATAACTTCCTGGTATCTTGCAATGTATTACTTCCAGTGTACACAGTCATATCCAATACAAGACCACTGTAGCAATCACAGAGTACAAACAATTTTACACAAATAACTTGCACATAGAAGAGAGGAGCTTACAACGTTTCAGTCCAACTTGAACCATTTACAAAGTCACACTAACGAAACGGAGAGAAGAATGGAATTTTATATAGGCAGGAGGTGGTAGTGGTAGTAGTGGAGGTAGATGGTAGTAGTAGTGGGGAAGGTAGTATGGAGGAGGAGGACCCAGTCAAATAATAATAAAGAGGAGCACTGCAAGGGAGCTAGGTGCCCACAGAGGGTAAGAGCAAGAACACAGAGGGGGGAAAAATAAATAATGATGGAACAAATACCAAAGGCAGAAGAAAGACAACCCAAAGGAGAAAAAGGAAAGAGGAAAGGGGAAGGGGGAGAAGAAGAAAAAGGAGGAATGAGGTTAAGTCACGGGTGTTCTAAAGTTTGGAGCATTTTACAATGTAGTGGTGGTTCACACTTACTCACCCATTTGACCATAAACAGAAATATCAGTCTCAATCTTAAAATAATGAATCCTAACTAGTCATAAGTTGGCCTGTGATACTCCAATACTGAAACTATGTATTGTGCCAAGACAAAAGTATTCACATTGCTAAACTCACAAACTAGTATTTAGTCACTTAGCCATAATACCAACTTACCTCATAATTTGTAATATTTTAAAGTTAAGAATTAATCTATGTCTGCCCGAAATGCCTAGCCATGCTAGGTGTTCTAGTGGCACCCTCTGTAATTAGTATTTTACTACATGTAAACCACACAGTAACCAAATTCTGTAAATCAGCATTGTAATCCTTATAGAGAATAAACTTTGAATTTGAATTTGAATTTGAATTTGAAGGCATATACAGAGATGAAGCCAGGACTAAGATTCATACAAGGAAAGTTGTGTATTAGGGAGGATTCAAGCAGAGGGCGACTGTTGAAGTTGGAGGTAGGGAAGACAGTTTTAGCAGAAGACCAGTCGATAGGATGACTGTGATCTCTGACGTGACAGAAAAGAGCATTATTAGTGTCGGCAAGCCTAACACTACTTTTGTGCTGCCCAAGTCTGTCAGAAAGAGATCGGCCAGTTTCTCCAAAGTACTGAAGAGGACAGGAGGAACAAAAAATAAGAGTAGACACCAGGAGCATCTGTAGAGGGAGGAGAGGTATGAACGAGATTAGTGTGAAGAGTGTTAGTCTGGTGGAAAATAAGTTTGATGTCTAAGGAACGGAGAGAGTTGTTGAGATTAGAAAGACCAGAAATGTAGGGAAGGCAGAGGACAGAAGAGTTCCCAGGAGTAGAGAGTTTGGGAGAGAAGAAATTATGTTTAGCACGTGAGAAGGCAGAGTCTATGAAATGGGAAGGGTAGCTAAGACGGGAAAATGAATTATGAAGAATGGAAATTTCTGATTGAAGGAACTGAGGATCACAAATGCGGAGAGCACTGAGAAAGAGGGAGATAAGAACACTTTTCTTGACAGAGGAAGCATGATAAGAAAAGTAGTGAATGTACATGACACTGTGCATAGGCTTGCGGTAAACGGAAAAGGCAAAATCTGTATCTGAGCGATGGACATGGACATCAAGGAAAGGAAGCAAGGAATTAGATTCCCATTGAGCTTTAAACTTAATGGAAGGGGCAAGATTATTAAGAGCATCAAGATGTGGTTTGAAGAGACTCGAGTCATGAGGCCACAGAGCAAAGATGTCATCTACATAGCTGAGCCAGAGTGAAGGGCACACATCGATAGTAGGAAGAGGAGGAGGAGAGCCCATAACCACACCGAAGGTTTGAGAATAATATTTCCCTTGGAAGAAAAAGGAATTAGAGTCCACACAGAGGCGGATTAGATAAAAAAAGACATCAGTAGGTATAGAAAGATGAAGAAACCCTTCATTGGCCTTCTCTCTAAGAAAATCAAGGACATCATCAAGAGGGACATTGGTGATGAGGGACTCAACATTAAGGCTAAGCATCCTACAGGTCGGGAGAGAGCGAACCCGTTCAATGAAGTCTTGAGAGTGACGGAGGTGGGCAGGAGAAAAAGTACCAAGAAAGGGAGTGAGGGTCTTAGCCAGCCAAGAAGCAAGAAAATGTGGATGAGCAGTTCAGACAACCGACAAGTTGAAAAATTAGACACACATGCAACACTTGGGTATCTTTATTGAGGAAATGTTTTGCCACACAGTGGCTTCATCAGTCCATACAAAGAACAGTGATGAAGAACAGGAGGAGTATGAGGTAATCAGTCCCTCAGCCTTGAGTCCATGTGGTCAGTCCATCAATCTTGAAATGAATACAGCATATCTGCAGAGAAGTAGCTTATATACTGTAGGCAGGAGAGATGAAGCAGTTGTAGGTGGCATCACATTTGTCCAATGGGCATGACCTACTTCTACATTGGACAAATGTGATACCACCTACAACTGCTGCACCTCTCCTGCCTACAGTATATAAGCAACTTCTCCGCACATATGCTGTATTCTTTTCAAGATTGATGGACTGACCACATCGACTCAAGGCTGAGGGACTGATTACCTCATACTCTTCCTGTTCTTCACCATTCTTCTTTGTATGGACTGATGAAGCCACTGTGGCAAAACGTTTCCTCAATAAAGATACTCAAGTGTTGCATATGTGTCTAATTTATCAAGCAAGAGAATAAGTGACAGAACCTCTAGAGGTTTTCCTTATTCCATTTACTGCAAGCCTATGTACAGTGGCATGTACATATTCACTACTTTTCTTATCATGCTTCCTTTGTCAAGAAAAGTGTTCTTATCTCCCTCTTTCTCCATGCTCTCTGCATTTGTGATCCTCAGTTTCTTCAATCAGAAATTTCCACTCTTCATAATTCATTTTCCCGTCTTGGCTACCCTTCCCATTTCATAGACTGCCCTCTCACGTGCTAAATGTACTTTCTTCTCTCCCAAACTCTCTACTCCTGGGAACTCTTCTGTCCAGCCTTTCTAATCTCAACAACTCTTTCCGTTCCTTAGACATCAAACTTACTTTGTCAGTCTAACACTCTTCGCACTAATTTCGTTCATACCTCTCCTCCCTCATTAGATGCTCCTGGTGTTTACTATTTCTTGTTCCTCCTGTCCTCTTCAGGAGAAACTGGCCAATCTCTTTCTGACAGACTTAGGGAGCACAAAAGTAGTGTTAGGCTTGCCGACACTAACAATGCTCTTTTCTGTCATGTCAGAGATCACAGTCATCCTATTGACTGGTCTTCTGCTAAAACTGTCTTCCCTATTTCCAACTTCAACAGTCACTGTCTGGTTGAATTCTCCCTAATACACAGCTTTCCTTGTATGAATCTTAGTCCTGGCTTCGTCTTTGTAGATGCCTTCCTTTCCCACTACATTGTAAAATGCTCCAAACTTCAGAACACCCATGACTTAACCTTATTCCTCCTTTTTCTTCTTCTCCCTCTTCCCCTTTCATCTTTCCTTTTTCTCCTTTGGATTGTCATTCTTCTGCCTTGGGCATTTCCTCCTTCATTTATTTGTTTTTCCTCCCTTTGTGGGCACCTAGCTCCCTTGCAGTGCTCGTCTTTCTTAGTACTGTATTTGACTGGCTCCTCCTCCTCCTCCTCACTACCTTCCCCACTACTATCTTCTACCTTCCACTACTACTACTACTACCACCTCCTGCCTATATATACTCCCTCCTCTCCTTTTCTTTAGTGTGACTTTGTAAATGTTCCAAGTCGGACTGAAACGTCGTCGTAAGCTCCTCTCTTCTATGTGCTGGTTATTTGTGTATTGTTCCAGTCACTGTATTGTGCCTTTTTTTTATTTACAAGCAACTTTATATAAAAGCATTTCCTCTTGCTTGGTATATACTGCTTGAACAACAGTCTTCCTTTGAACAGAGTCAAGGACTCATCAGTAACAAACTTCCTGAAGGGATCAAAATACATACATAACTTTTGTTTCAGATACATAAACACATATTTGATCTTACATAGCCTGTTGTTTCTGTCAGGCCTTGTTTTGTCTGAGAAGTGTAGCATACGTAACAGTAGCAGAAATCGATTCACTGGTATTATATCACTGAAAGCTGTGGTTGAAATCAGGTAGTCTGTTGACCAGCATGATGTGACAGTCTGCATATACACATGTGGCATAAGCATTATTGTGGCAAAGAACAGATACATCTCAGCCACATACATCTCCTTCCACTGGTGTAGCCATGATTTTGGTGAAATAATTGTGTTTGCCATGGTGTAATCCAACTATGTGTTGCTTTCCCTGACAATTTCTATCTGGGGTTCATCAAAGAGTAACTCGAAACATTGTAGTTCATTCCCACTCCAGGCAGCATACCCCTCCAGTATTCAAAACTCAAAACTTACTCACCGTACAAAACATCCATACTTTTTATTGTGCCTACTATAGACATAGAACACTAAACTCAGATATAAACTCTCCCCTCAAACTTCTCCTTACCAACCTCAACAGAACACATGACCATAACACAAGGTACAGATCACTCTTTGATGTTCCCTGTGTCCATCTCACACTATGTAAAAACTCAATTCACATCGACCCAAAAATCTGGAATTCATTACCTGTGAATGTAAAAGAAATACTGTCTGTTTATCAATTCAAGACTTTTCTTATAAACCACAACTAAATAAATACTGAATAACTGAATCTCATAAATGTATAACCTGTGACCCTATCAAACTATTTTTTTTTAATTACATTACCGAATAGAATACCCCATTCTCTTGTATGCGCAGTAACTCATCTAATGACCATATGACCTGTTTCTGCAATAAAAATAATTGATTTTACTCGATCTGATTCAATTATATTATACATTGTTATGCAACAAATTTGTACAACTTTAATGCTTCTTATTTGAAATACTCATTTGTACTTCATGTTGTAATTTGTTTACTGTAATTTCTACAACTGATCATTGCTTAGTTAATTATAAGTTAATTTTAAGCCTGTCCATAATGCTCTGCATACAAGGGGCTTTTGGCATGTACACCCAATCATTATATTTCTTTGTACAACTTTGTATCATGTCCAAATAAAAATAAATAAATAAATAAATAAATTTAGCTATAATTTATTCTCCATGTTCATTCCTTGTGCAGAAATTAGTGATACATTCAAGTTGATCTAAATCTAAATCTATTGTGAGTATATATACCTGTATGTTGTGTCGTGAGTCCTTGTTTCATAGTTTTGAACATTGATCTTACAGAGAGAGGAGGATGATACACCAAGTGAAGGCCTCACACAAGTGACTTTCATGAAGTCAGTGCCAATGGTCACCTACCTTGTGTGCTTCATTGTGTGTGACTTCACTTATAAGGAGGTAAGCATTCAACTTAGAGAAATAAGCTTCATGTGACTTTACTTATAAAGAAGGAAATATTTGTATGACTTCACTTATGAAGTAAAAACTTGGAAATTTATTCCCTGTGCCTTTATAATATAATTCTGATATATTAGGGAGGGTAGTTTGTATCTTTCATGTAGCAGATGGAATAAGGTGCTATCTCTAGTCTCTGCTTGGACTAATATGATCCACACATGGTATTGCACCTCCATCTATCCTGGACTAATATGATCCACACAGAGTACAGCACCATAGTCTGTCCTTGGACTAATACAGTCAACTTTTGATAAAAACAGACCTCCATAAAGCAGATGTCAGCTAAAATGTACAAAAATCTGGCTGAACAAAGGATAAACATGTATGTTTAATAATATTGGTTTTTAACCCCTTAACTATCAGAACATAGATCTACATTTGGACTGCTAGCTCTCTGAATATTTAAAAAAAAAAATTAAATAAGGAGGGCAATTTTCTGTGGCAATAAGACAAAAAACAATTGAGTCAGTACTTACCGAGATATAAGGCTGCAAAGTTGGCGCTGGATGCTCGCCTAATGGCAACATGGAGTCCTGCTGCTTGCAGAAGTATTGCTGATATACCTTTTTTCATTTTATTTTAAATTTATATAATTTTTATATATTCTGATAATTAAAGTTTATAGTAGTTCTTGTGATTTTATAGGTAATCTTTGCTCTGACACTAATATTAGCTACTGAGATGATGATTAAATAGTCACAAACACACTGAGAGGTGAATATTTTCACCTGCCTTGGTCACATACTCTTGTCTAGAAATGTACAGGTCTCCCTCAACATTCACGTTTTCAGCTTTCGCGGGCTTCACACATTCGCGAATTCCCAACCGCCAAATTCCCAGCCACCAAATTCCCAGCCGCCAAATCATATTCAAGTTTCCCGCCACCTGCGAGTCCCTACTACCCTCCCACCGACCCCCGCAACTGGCAGCCAGCCCTCCCACCACTGTGTGGTGTTTTGTTTGTTCATTATTTGCTATTAAACTACAGTATAAATAATGTAAACACATTCATGACTGCATATTAGAATGGCTATTTGAACAGGTATTGGACGGTGACATCACGTGTTTACTCTTGAACACAGCAAAGAATCAAACATTTCTGCTACTGCTAATAATAATAATAATAATAATAATAATAATAATAATAATAATAATAATAATAATAATAATAATAATAATAATAATAATAATGATAATAATGATAATACGATATAATTGAAGAAGGAAATTGTACAAAAATACGAGGGAGTGGTTGACACATCGTCAGTGTGGCTTTGTTTATGCTGGAGTGAACATTAGTCTCCCTGCTCTTCCAAACATTTCACAATAATTCATTGTTTGGCGCTTGTAGATTGAGTGTGACTGGAGTGGTAGAGGCAGTGGTAGAGGCAGTGGTAGAGGCAGTGGTAGAGGCAGTGGTAGAGGCAGTGATAGAGGCAGTGGTAGAGGCAGTGGTAGAGGCAGTGATAGAGGCAGTGATAGAGGCAGTGATAGAGGCAGTGATAGAGGCAGTGGTAGAGGCAGTGGTAGAGGCAGTGGTAGAGGCAGTGGTAGAGGCAGTGGTAGAGGCAGTGGTAGAGGCAGTGGTAGAGGCAGTGATAGAGGCAGTGATATTTACTAACATATGTTATAAATAATAATAGTACATTATGAATAACATTTATTATTATTATTATAAATGTTATTAATATTAACATGTACTATTATTATTTATAACATATGTATATGTTAGTAAATACCACTGCCTCACCCACTGCCTCTATCACTGCCTCTATCACTGCCTCTACCACTGAATTATTGTGAAATGTTTGGAAGAGCAGGGAGATTAATGTTCACTCCAACATAAACAAAGCCACACTGAAGATGTGTCAACCACTCCCTCGTACAGTAGACCCCCGCTTAACGATCACCTCCAAATGCGACCAATTATGTAAGTGTATTTATGTAAGTGCGTTTGTACGTGTATGTTTGGGGGTCTGAAATGGACTAATCTACTTCACAATATTCCTTATGGGAAAAAATTCGGTCAGTACTGGCACCTGAACATACTACTGGAATGAAAAAAGTTCGTTAACCGGGAGTCCACTGTATTTTTGTACAATTTCCTTCTTCAATTATATCGTATTATTATTATTATTATTATTATTATATTATTATTATTATTATTATTATTACTATTGTTATTATTAGCAGTAGCAGAAATGTTTGATTCTTTGCTGTGTTCAAGAGTAAACACATGATGTCACCTTCCAATACCTGTTCAAATAGCCATTCCAATATGCAGTCATGAATGTGTTTACATTATTTATACTGTAGTTTAATAGCAAATAATGAACAAACAAAACACTCGCCACACTGAGTGGTGGGAGGGCTGGCTGCCAGTTGCAGGGGTCGGAGGGAGGGTAGTAGGGACTCGCAGTGGTGGAGGAAGTGGTGGAGGCATTGGTGGAGGCATTGGTGGAGGAAGTGGTGGAGGCATTGGTGGAGGCAGTGGTGGAGTCTGTGGTATTTAATAACATACATGTTATTAAAGCATAACATGTATATATTTAGTACAATTTACGACGTTTTCATGTATTTTATGATTGTTCATGGTTCAACAAGTTAAGCAGTATTGTATTATATTTCCCTACAATATATTGGGGCACGAAACATTCACGGTTTTTCAACATTCGCGAGGCTCTTGATCCCCTAACCCTCGCGAATGTTGAGGGACACCTGTATACAAATTATTTATAAATCCCAGCAATGTTTTAGACATGCTGGAGTATATGAAACTCCTTGAAGCATGGTGTAAAATGAGTGCCACTCCACTGCTGACAGTGCAGCAGCAGAGGGACACTTGATGATCATGCACTACTCCAATGAACTTTGGCTGTATTTGTTTCCACTGTTACACACAAACATTGCCTGTGTGTCTATCTGTCTGTCTCTGCTTATCTGTCTTTCAATCTGCCTGTGTGTCTCTGACTTCTTGTCTCCCTTTTTGTTTCAGAGAGAGCCACTCGTGATCCAACAGGTATTACAAACGATGCAGTCTTCATATCTGATTCCTAAACAAGTGAAAATGCGTATTACTTGCCAGTCATGCTTATTATGCCTTATACAGTGGACCCCCAGATATTGTAGTAGTCGGATTTCATAATACGTATTTGGAAATCATAATGTTTTTTCGTCAAAATATTGGCTCGGTGATAGTCATTGAGCTCGGCAATAGTCATTCGTCTCTAACACGTCCGCATGGCAACAGCAGCCTGACACTCAGTTTGCCGTTGTTTATCAGCCATTGAGCACGATCCCACACGTTCGTACAATACATTTCGTATTATTCCATTCTTTTTAGTGCTTGCAACTGCTAAATAAGCTGAAAGAAAATTCCTAGTGCCTGCCAGTCCTTTGGTAAAGGACTGAGAGAAAGGGGAGAATGTGCCACCTTCAGTGATTCTTCAATATGTACGATACTAAAGCAGCAGGAGTTGATAAAGGCTATACCGTCAGCCAGCGATCAAGTGTAGTATTAACAGTGTAGCTAGTAAGTTAAGTGATTAATCGATAGGAAAAGGACAGCACGAAACCGACTCCTCCAATGTTGTTGGAGGTATGTAGAGCTACTGACTAACACCGCCGTCTCTGCTGCTGCCATCACCACCACTGCGTAAGGCTTATCTTTCAGTGGCCCTTATACACCCAACAACAAACAACACAACAACACTTGTCGGTTAGGGAGAGAGACATATGACATATTTTATTCATTCTAGAGTATTATCATGTTTTTATGTTATTAATATTGTTTATTATGTCATATTAGATGAATTGTGCTAGATATATAAGCCGTAGAGTTGATATTTCTGTCATGTTGAAGGACTATCCTGTCCTGTCTCCTAACACACTCCCCTGCCGCCACCACAGTTCCTAACGTGCTCCAGAAACAGACCTCTCTGGAACACTTTTTTGAGCAACAGGGGTCCAGTGACTTAAGCTGGTCCTAGTGGCATTAAAAAACAAAGAAGGGAAGTAACCCTGGAAAAGGACTTGGTACCTGAAGTCTTTATGGAAGGGGATTCCCCCTTCCAAACAGTAATTTCTCCATCCTCTCCTCTCCTCCCCTTTTCAATATGCTAAGAAGAGTCTTCAATAAAGAAGTGTCATGTTATTTCTGTTTTATTCTTCAGGTCTCATTGTTTTCTGTGTAGGTAAATGTATATTTCATGTAAAAAAAATATTTTTTTTAATACTTTTGAGTGTCTTGAACGGATTACAGTGGACCCTCATTTTTCGTAATTAATCTTTTCTAGAGAGTGTGACTAATAGTGAAATTGATGATTTACGAAGCCATTTTCCCCATAAGATATAACGTAAATCCAATTAATCCGTTCCAGACACCCAAAAGTATTAACCCTTTGACTGTTTTGGTCATATATATACGTCTTACGCGCCACTGTTTCGGACATTTATATGCGTATATTCTAGCGGCTTCAAATCAAGTGGGGGAAAGCTGGTAGGCCTACGTGAGAGGGAATGGGTCTGAGTGGTGGGTGTGCACCCTGTGAAAAAAATCTGGGACTCAATGGTGCATTGTGGGAATGCCATCTTGGTAGTCCATTTTCACCATGCATGGCGGTAAGAAGTACCTCACTCCTCGGCGGATTGGAGGTCCTTTGTTCCCAAGTGATAGCTCTAACAGCAATGGAAGTGTCAGTGAAAGTGAATTCCATGGTTTTCAAGCGGGTATGACCAAAAACAGTGACCAGGATAACGTAATTAGTGATGAAAACCCAGATGACCCACGACCTTCCACCTCTTGTTTGGGCCGGCTCGTTCACGTTCACCTGTACCAGGACGAAAGAGGAAACTGTTTGCCCATGTACAAGACTCAGATGTGAACAGTGAAAGTGATAGTGATTTCAAAGCTATTGAAAGCAGTTCTAATTGCAACAGTG